CCCCCCCAGATATTTCTCCACCATTGGGCCCCCCAGATCTTCTCCACCATTGGCCCCCCAGATCTTTCTCCACCATTCGCCCCCCAGATCTTTCTCCACCATTCACCCCCAGATCCTTCTTCACCATTGACCTCCCCAGATCCTATCTCCACCATTGACCCCCTCAGATCCCCTTCTCCACCATTGCCCCCCCCCTGCATAATTATATATACATTTCTCCATTCCCTCCAGAACCTTCTCCCCATTATACATGGAAGACCCCCCCCAGATCCTTCTCCACCATTGACCCCCCCAGTTGTACCCCCCTAATATGTATGATCCATGCATATTCTTAGCCCCCAAGTGCAGAACCTTACATTTATCACCATTAGCCCTCATTGGCCCCATAGTCCCCCAATTACACAGAGCATTGAGGTCGGCTTGTAAGTTGGAGACATCCTGTAAGGACGTTATTCCCCGGCACAGCTTGGTGTCATCTGCAAAGACTGGAATGGGATTTATAATCTCACACCCCATATTGTTTATATATATATTAATAAGTAAGGGTCCCAACACTGAACCCTGGGGTACCCCACTAATAACACTGAACCTTGGGGTACACCACTAATAACACTGAGCCCTGGGGTACACCACTAATAACACTGACCCTGGGGTACCCCACTAATAACACTGAACCTTGGGGTACCCCACTAATAACACTGAACCTTGGGGTACCCCACTAATAACACTGAACCTTGGGATACACCACTAATAACACTGAACCCTGGGGTACCCCACTAATAACTCTGAACCTCGGGGTACCCCACTAATAACACTGAACCCTGGGGTACCCCACTAATAACACTGAACCTGGGGTACCCCACTAATAACACTGAACCTTGGGGTACCCCACTAATAACACTGAACCCTGGGGTACCCCACTAATCACACTGAACCTTGGGGTACCCCACTAATCACACTGAACCCTGGGGTACCCCACTAATAACACTGAAACCCTGGGGTATCCCACTAAAAACACTGAACCCTGGGGTACCCCACTAATAACACTGAACCTTTGAGTACCCCACTAATTACACTGAACCCCATAATACCCCACTAACCCCTTCCATACCGAGCACTTTTACCCCCTTCCTGCCCAGGCCAATTTTTAGGTTTTCAGCGCTCTCACACTTTGAATGACAATTGCGCAGTCATACAACACTGTACCCAAACTAAAATGTGGCGGATATCTGTACCATCCTGACATTTGGGGGGATATCTGTACCGTCCTGACATTTGGGGGGATATCTGTACCGTCCTGAAATTTGGGGGGATATCTGTACCATCCTGAAATTTGGGGGATATCTGTACTGTCCTGACATTTGGGGGATATCTGTACTGTCCTGACATTTGGGGGGGTATCTGTACTGTCCTGACATTTGGGGGATATCTGTACTGTCCTGACATTTGGGGGGATATCTGTACTGTCCTGACATTTGGGGGGATATCTGTACTGTCCTGACATTTGGGGGATATCTGTACTGTCCTGACATTTGGGGGATATCTGTACTTTTCTGACATTTGGGGGATATCTATACTGTCCTGACATTTGGGGGATATCTGTACCATCCTGACATTTGGGGGATATCTGTACTGTCCTGACATTTGGGGGATATCTGTACCGTCCTGACATTTGGGGGATATCTGTACTGTCCTGACATTTAGGGGATATCTGTACCGTCCTGAAATTTGGGGGATATCTGTACCATCCTGAAATTTGGGGAAATCTGTACCATCCTGAAATTTGGGGAAAATCTGTACCGTCCTTACATTTTGTGGGGTATCTGTACTGTCCTGACATTTGGAGGATATCTGTACCATCCTGACATTTGGGGGATATCTATACTGTCCTGACATTCGGGGGATATCTGTACTGTCCTGACATTTGGGGGATATCTGTACCATCCTGACATTTGGGGGATATCTGTACCGTCCTGACATTTGTGGGATATCTGTATTGTTCTGACATTTGGGGGATATCTGTACCGTCCTGAAATTTGGGGGATATCTGTACTATCCTGAAATTTGGGGGAAAATCTGTACCATCCTGAAATTTGGGGGATATCTGTACCGTTCTGACATTTGGGGGATATCTGTACCATCCTGAAATTTGGGGGGATATCTGTACCATCCTGAAATTTGGGGGATATCTGTACCGTACTGACATTTGGGGGATATCTGTACCGTCCTGACATTTGGGGGATATCTTTACCATCCTGACATTTGGGGAATATCTTTACCATCCTGACATTTTGGGGGATATCTGTACTGTCCTGACATTTGGGGATATCTGTACCATCCTGACATTTGGGGGATATCTGTACCATCCTGACATTTGGGGGATATCTGTACCGTTCTGACATTTGGGGGATATCTATACTGTCCTGACATTTGGGGGATATCTGTACTGTCCTGACATTTGGGGGATATCTGTACTGTCCTGACATTTGGGGGATATCTGTACCATCCTGACATTTGGGGATATCTGTACCATCCTGACATTTGGGGGATATCTGTACCATCCTGACTGGGGGATATCTGTACCGTCCTGACATTTGGGGGATATCTGTATTGTTCTGACATTTGGGGGATATCTGTACCGTCCTGAAATTTGGGGGATATATGTACCTTTCTGACATTTGGGGGATATCTGTACAGTCCTGACATTTGAGGGATATCTGCACCGTCCTGACATTTGGGGATATCTGTACCGTTCTGACATTTGGGGGATATCTGTACCATCCTGACATTTGGGAGATATCTGTACCGTTCTGACATTTGGGGGATATCTGTACCATTCTGACATTTGGGGGATATCTGCACCGTCCTGACATTTGTGGATATCTGTGTCTTCCTGACATTTGGGGGACATCTGTACTGTGCTGACATTTGGGGGATATCTGTACTGTTCTGACATTTGGGGGGATATCTGTACTGTCCTGACATTTGGGGGATATCTGTATCTTCCTGACATTTGGGGGATATCTGTACTGTTCTGACATTTGGGGATATCTGTACCATCCTGACATTTGGGAGATATCTGTACCGTTCTGACATTTGGGGGATATCTGTAACTGTCTGTACTGACATTTGGGGATATCTGTACTGTTCTGACATTTGGGGGATATCTGTACCATTCTGACATTTGGGGGATATCTGCACCGTCCTGACATTTGTGGATATCTGTGTCTTCCTGACATTTGGGGGACATCTGTACTGTGCTGACATTTGGGGGATATCTGTACTGTTCTGACATTTGGGGGGATATCTGTACTGTCCTGACATTTGGGGGATATATGTATCTTCCCTGACATTTGGGGGATATCTGTACTGTTCTGACATTTGGGGGATATCTGTACTGTTCTGACATTTGGGGGATATCTGTACCATCCTGACATTTGGGAGATATCTGTACCGTTCTGACATTTGGGGGATATCTGTACTGTGCTGACATTTGGGGGATATCTGTAACTGTTCTGACATTTGGGGGATATCTGTACCATTCTGACATTTGGGTGGGGATATCTGCACCCGTCCTGACATTTGTGGATATCTGTGTCTTCCCTGACATTTGGGGGACATCTGTACTGTGCTGACATTTGGGGGATATCTGTACTGTTCTGACATTTGGGGGATATCTGTACCGTCCTGACATTTGGGGGATATCTGTACCGTCCTGACATTTGGGGGATATACTGTACTGTTCTGTCATTCTTGGACCTCAAGAAATTAGATTGGCTGTCAGTACTTTCAGGATTGATCAATTTTCAGATATCTCCCATAGTTTGTTTCAACTCTATAACTTTCCTACAAACTAAATCCTAATTTGGGTTATTTTCACCAAAGACATGGAGCAGAATACATCTCGGCCTAAATTTATGAAGAACAATTATTTAATTTGCAAACTTTTATAACAGAAACAAAGAAAAACTTTTTTTTTTTCAAAATTTTTGATCTTCTTTTGGGAAGAAAATGAAGCCATCCATTGTATACAATTGTCATGTGACCTGCAGTGATTGGTCACAGCAGGTCACATGGTACTGACAAAGGAGCCGGTACACAGATCTGTCATTGGCCGTGTCCGAGGTACTATGGCCGGTGACAGGTTGCACCACTGCATGGCTCTGTGGGCATGCAAACTGCGCATGCCTAGAAGGATGCCATTTGGCTTCCAACCGGAGGCAACGAGGAGCTCGCCCGGCCACCATCTGGCCATAGGCCGGGAGGGAACCAGCTAATCACACTGAACCTTGGGGTACACCACTAATAACATTGAACCCCGTTGGGGTACCCCACTAATAACACTGAACTTGGGGTCCCCCACTAATCACATGAACCCTTGGGGTATCCCACTAATAACACTGAACCTTGGGGTCCCCCACTAATAACACTGAACCTTGGGGTACCCCACTAATAACACTGAACCTTGGGGTACCCCACTAATAACACTGAACCTTGGGGTCCCCCACTAATCACATTGAACCTTGGGGTCCCCCATTAATCACACTGAACCTTGGGGTACCCCACTAATAACACTGAACCTTGGGGTCCACTAGATAAACACTGACACCCCCCCCACCCCCAACGTTCAAGTATGAACCTTGGGGCACCCCACAAACAATGAAACGATCTTTGGGGTACACCACTGGATGACACTGAACCTTGGGTACCCCATAAAAACCTACTGAACCTTGGGGAACCCACAAAAACACTGAACCTTGAGGTACCCCACTTTCTAATAAAGTACTGAACCCTGGGGTACTCCACTAATAACACTGAACCTTGGGGTACTCCACTAATACTGAACACCCTTGGGGTACCCCACTAATAACACTGAACCTCGGGTACCCACTAATAACACTGAACCTCGGGGTACCCCACTAATAACACTGAACCTTGGGGTACCCCACTAATAACACTGAACCCCTTGGGGTACCCCACTAATAACACTGAACCTTGGGGTACCCCACTTGACACCCCACCCCCAGACCATTCAGAGTATGAATCATTAACCACTACTCTCTAAATACGATCTTTCAGCCTAGTTTTCTATCCATTTACATTTGCATTGTTCCAGCCCATAGACTTTACCTTACACATTAGCCGTGTGTGGGGAACTGTGTCCAAGTATACCACGTCCACCGCTACCCCTACTCTGTCCAAGTATACCACGTCCACTGCCACCCCCTCTGTCCAAGTATACCACGTCCACCTCCCCTTCTGTCCAAGTATACCACGTCCACCATCACCCCTCTGTCCAAGTATTACCACGTCCACTGCCACCCCTCTGTCCAAGTATACCACATCCACCACCCCACCCCTCTGTCCAAGTATACCACGTCCGCCACCGCCACCACCCTCTGTCCAAGTATACCACGTCCACCGCCACCCCTCTGTCCAAGTATACCACGTCCACCACCACCCTCTGTCCAAGTAATACCACGTTCCCCTACTCGCCACCCCTCTGTCCAAGTATACCATGTCCACCGCCACCCCTCTGTTCCAAGTATACCACGTCCACCACCACCCCTCTGTCCAAGTATACCACGTCCACCACCACCCCTCTGTCCAAGTATACCACGTCCACAGCCACCCCTCTGTCCAAGTATACACGTCCACCAGCCACCACTCTGTCCATATGATACCACGAGCCCATCGCCACCACTCTGTCCAAGTATACCACGCCACCGCTTACCCCTCTGTCTTAGTATACCACGTTGACCACCACCCCTCTGTCCAAGTATACCACGTCCACAGCCACCCTCTGTCCAAGGATTTTGCTCACCTCCAATCTAACCTGTTTCATGATGGTTTAATCCCAGCTCACCTCTACAATGTTGTCTACAGTAAACATTTAAGCTTCCACTGATTACAGAATACTAAATACTGCACTATATACTTCAATGTTTTACATTACATACTCCTGACCCCTGCACTATATACTCTATGTGTACATTACATACTCTGACCCCTGCACTATATATCTCTATGTTGTACATTACATACTCCTGACCCCTGCACTATATACTCTAAGTTGAATATTCCGTAGTGGCTGACTACTGGCTGCTCCCTCCTCCCCCACTGAAATATAACAGTCAGGTCCCAAATTTTGGGACCTAAACACAATTCCACATTTTTGGCTCTAACACCACCACTATGGATTTGAAATGAAACGAACAAGATGTGCTTTAACTTCAGACTGTCAGCTTTATTTGAGGTTATTTACATCAAAATCAGTGAAACGGCTGTAGAATTACAACGAGTTTGCATATGTGCCTTCCACTGTTAAGTGGACTTAAAGATAATGGACAGAATAATAATCAAAAAATTCAAACTTCACCTTTTAATACTTTGGGTTGCAAATCTTTGCAAGTCAATTACACCTAAGATCTGGAAACGAAAAGATATCACCAGATACGCTGGGTTTCATCCCTTTGGCTGATGCACTTCCAGGCCTCTACTGCAACTGTCCCATCAGTTCCCTGCCTGTTCGTGAGCATTTTTCCCTTCAGATTTTGTCTTCAGCAAGGTGAAATGCATGCACAACCACTGCGGATTCAGGTCAGTGATTGACTTGGCCATGCAGTAACATTCTACTTCTTTCCCATGAAAACTCTTTGGTTGCTTTTTGCAGTATGCTTTGGGGTTCAATTGTCCCAATCATCGCACTGTTAAAGCCTGCGTCCAAAAAGAAGTTCTTTACCGAAGCATTTGGGCTTGTATATGTTGCAAGAATTAATTATTGCACCGAAAACTCATTTAAGGAAATTCATCCTGATTCGCTATTTTTCAGCAGTCAGCAATTCCAATCAGACAAATCATCAAGAGGAACCAGTTCTCCATTGTGCAGCACACACATGCCCACGCCATTGACATTACACCACCATGCTCCACTGATTATGGTGGTAGGATGCTTAGTGATTGTATTGAGACAGAATTCCATTTCCTTTCTCAGACTTCTTCTCTTCCTCATCCAATTGGTACAAGTTGATGTCGGTCCCCTCATCTGTCCATAGGATGTTGTTTCCAGAACTGTGAGGCTTTTTTAACATTGTCCTTTGGCAACTCTAATCTGGCCTTCCTTGTTTGAGGCTCACCATGGTTTCCATCTTTGAGGTGAACCTATCTGAATTCACTCTGGTGAAGTCTTCTCTTATTGTGACTTTTGACACACATACACCTACCACCTTGAGAGTGTTCTTAGATCTGGCCACCTGTTGTGAAGGGTGGTTTCTCACCAGGGAAAAGAATTCTTCGCGTCAACACCACAGTTGATTTCCGTGGTCTTCCGTGTCGATTTGGGTGTTGCTGAGCTCCCCGGTGCGTTCCTTCTTTTTAAGAACTGTTCCAAGCTTTGTTTTGGCTACTGCCTAATGTTTTTGCTAACTCTATGATGGTTTGTTTGTTTTTTCAGCCTAATGATGGCTTCACTGATAGTGACAGTCTCTTTGGATCTCATCTTGAGAGTTGACAAGCAACAGAT